ACGTTACTTCTGTACAGTCTGTATATAAATTTCGACTAATACCTTAACATTTAAAATTTCTCAATATTTCCTAATTAAAAAATGTTTTTATTTAACATGGCAATAGTATTTAAATTTATTACCTACTACTTACCTATTTATTTACTCCTATAATTATTTTCAGATGTATTTAACTATATATCTGGGTAAAAATGATTTTTTTATCTGAAATACTTTTTATTTTAAAAATAAAAAATGTTCCATCGTAATTTAAAAAAAGGGTGCATCGATGTACGTTTTAAATGGGATGCAGCTAAAAGTATCCATCATGTGATGTCACGGCTGATCCAGCATACATTGAATTAATTCGGCTATCCTCTTTAGTGGACAGTTGAGTGTTTGGAAATGTTATTTTAAAAATAAGGCACATTTTAGGGTTCCGTACCCGTAGGGTAACCAACGGGACCCTATTACTAAGTCTCCGCTGTCCGTCCGTCTGTCTGTCAGCGGGCTGTATCTCATGATCCGTAATAGGTAGACAGTTAAAATTTTCACATAATGTGTATTTCTTTTGCCACTATAACAAATATTAAAAATAAAAATAAATTAAAAATTCAAGGGGCTCCTCTACTAGAAACATGTTTTTTTTTGCTTTTTTTTGCTCGATATTTAAAATGTACTTACATAGTATGAAATCGTGTAGGCTGGTGCGGGATCCTACATGCGCCAGTCCAACTCGCACTTGGCGGGTTTTTTATTTTATATTTCTTTTTAGTTGATTTTAATTGGACAATTGTAATGACAGGGCATGACAGACAAAATTCGAAAAATAAGTATAAATAAAAAAATGATCCTCATAAGTTCTTAGAATACAAAAAAAAAGTTAATTTATGGGGTTTCTGATAGTACATTTGAAAAGTACTACTCTCCTTCCTAAAGCCTAAAATGTAAGTTTTGTAAAAACATGTATTTTTAAGAGGGCTTCTTTCCAATATTTACCTGGAAAAGTATGTTTTATTTGCAATTTTAATTGTCGCAAATAACACACCTAAAAGTGTCACTGGCTCTCCTACCAATTAGGCATTCCAACGACCTGTCCAAATGGCTACCAGTGGGTAATGACAGTTTAGATATGGCAACACTGTTGTCATGTTGTCATTAACAGGGTCAATGATACATATATAGTTATATAGATTGCTCAAAGCTGGTCGTTTACGAGCGGCCATATTGCCTGGCAAATATTTATTAATTTGAATCGGTTTAGCAAAAATGTGTTTTAAAACCAATTTTTAGCCTTTAGATATTTAAAAAAAATAATTGCTTACATTTTTACTTCAAGGCATAAGCTTATGTTTATTTTGAAAAATATTTATGATCAATCTATGTAACTATCTATTTCATTGACCTTTTCAAATCACCAGGCCTACAGGGTTGCCATAATTTTGCCATATCATAACCCGTCAGAACCCACTGGTAGCCATTCAGTTTGGAATGCCTAATACTATAGTCTGTTTAAAAACCAGGAGGAGCGATTTGAATTTAAGTTGGCAATTCTGGAGACTTCTGATTGGTCAGATTGCAGCCAGTTTCACACATCACTTTTGCATTAACATCAGCTGATAACTGACATTATTGACACTTTGACATTTTATTTATATTTTTAGTTCTGTTATTGCTTTCGGTTTTTGTTTGATCTCTTATCATTATTACTTAGTTTTTCACTCTATTTATTTAAAAAACAGTTCTTTTCAGAACTTCGGTAAGCAATTGTATTGAATATCTGCGATTATGGATAATTCTACACCGAGTACTAGTAGAGATAGCAGTTCCTTGCGTAGTCCACCAAAACAGCGAAAACGTTTGAGTTTAGGCCATTTAAGTCTCGCAGAAAAACAGCACATAATAAATATGTACAAACAGGTGTTGGATGATAAACCAAAAACCAAAATTGTGGATGTTGTATCCAAAATTTGTCAAGCCGCCGGTAAGTTATACCTACTCATTACTTTCAAATTAAAAATGGTATTAAATACCCAAAAATTTTTACAGGAGTTGTAAAGTCAACAGTTTACCGGGTATTAAAAGAATACCGTAAAAGTGGAACCATATCTAGTCCAAAAAATATAGGTGGAAGACCCGGACTTCTAAAAACATTTGATGAGGGGTTCAAAAATGCTGTTAGAAGATTGGTACATGATTTCTTTTCAAAAAATGAATTACCTACATTAAATAAAATTTCACAAGCATTGAAGAAACATTTAGATTTGCCACAAATATCTCGGTCATCTTTATATACTTGAAACTTATTAACTTTAGGTAAGTTTATAACTTTGAAAAGTCAAATGAAATGTTTATTTATTATATATATTTTTTAGATATTTGAAAAGAAATCGTCAAAGTGTATTAATAGAACGTGATGATATCTGTAGATGGAGGTTATCATATTTACAATCGATCTAACAATATAGAAAACAGGCCAATATTTTACTTAGATGAAACTTGGACTAATGAAGGTCATAGTAAGGGAAAAACATGGGTGGACCAAAATGTAATCAGTAGACGTCAAGCATTTATTGAAGGTTTAACAATGGGCCTGAAAAGCCTGACAGGAAAGGGAAGACGCCTCATTATTTTACATGCTGGTTCTGAAGAAGGTTTTGTAAAAGATGCATTATTGGTCTTCGAAGGCGAAAAGACAGGAGATTACCAAATGAATTCTGAAGTATTTGATAATTGGATTTTTACTTTTTTGACAAAAATACCTGTTGATGCTGTAATTGTGATGGATAATGCATCATATCATAGCCGAAAAGTTGAGAAAATTCCCTCCTCGTCATCAAGAAAAGCTGAAATGCAGGAGTGGTTACATATGAAAAATATTAAATTTGATTTAAATATGAAGAGGTGTCAACTTTTACACCTAATTGGGCAACATAAAGATGCACATAATTTGTATGTTGTCGATGAAATGGCAAAAGAAGCATAAGTGTACAACATGTGATTAAGGAAGAAGATAAAATGAACACATCAGATGGAATAATGGATGACATGATAGAGCCTTTAATAATAACTGCCAACACTAGAAGCTCAGACGAAATGGAATCTTTTGAATCCGAATCGTTTGATGTTGATTAATATATTGAGTACCTGGTGTTTTTTATTTGTTTCTATGTAAATGTCAAGATGAACTTTGGGTTTTTACTTAATATGTTGTATAGACACTACTTATGTATTTATTCTGTTTGTGTTTTGCAAACTTATTATTAATTAAAATATTATAGCAAATTTGTAAAATAAAGATAACTACTATTCATGTTGTTTTTTTAATTCACATTTAAAAAAAAGAAAACTTTACAAAACTGTGCACTATAGTACATATTATAAATTGGTCAACATTGCTTTTTGGTGTTCTAGTTAAACAAAAAAACAAATTTGTTAGTTTTAAAAATTGAGGAATTTACCTAAATGATTAAACTGTAAGTGAATATTCAAGTAATTTTTATTTAAATACATAGGTAGGTATAAATAAAATACTTTAAATTAAAAAATATACTCGTAAAATCAAATCCTGACTCATAAACTTTATAGGTCTGTAAGCTTTTGAATATCTTCACCCAGCGAGCACAAAACGATCTATGAATGTAACAGCTACTTCCCCATAAAACATTGAACCCATGTGATGTACTTTTAATGTTAAAGTAACCAAACAAAAATTTAAAATAAAAGCCTTACACACAGTTTTTTAAAACCACAACCAATATTGAAATGTTTTAAGAGTTTTTACATTCACAAGTTCTAGATGATATACTCGTATATAGGTATAGGTGTATTATTCTAAACAATCACTATATTCTACTTATCAGAGTCATTACTATACTCTATTTACCAGGACCATATCAATGAATTTTTTAAAAAGATGTTTTAGCAGGAAATATAATCTTATATATTTGATAAAAACCGAAGTACCTACCTATATACTCTTTTTATTAAAACACAACTCACTTAATTCTTGAACATTTATTTATTTATTTATTTCTTAAACCCTTGAATTGAAGGATTTCTTAGAAGTAGCACGTTTACTTCGATATACACATTACATGTATGTAACAAACAAATATAACAATATATTCAATATAAACGTCTAATATTAGGGCCAAATCACAAATAAATGTTGATATAAAAACATCACATAATCGCCCAATTATGTTCTATGCCCTTTAGTGTATTAACTATAAGTTAACACTAAATAAGCCACATATTCATATTACTCATGGGAAGAATTCCAGTCACTGTGTAATCCAGAGTAAAGAGTTGTGTGGTAAAGGGGTCCAAGCCACTTATTAACTTTTACTTAAGTTTATACCTACAACAAATGTACCTATCATTGAAATGTAAACAGATTGTATTTTTATATTTTATACTAACCTGCATCTGAATATTTTTTTAACATTTTCTTAAATATTCAATATCCATTTCAAAAAGATTAAAGTTATTCTCAAGCAGTCGATTTTCTAACAAAAATATATAATATACTTATATTTATATTTCTGATAACCTATAACATCAACAAAGTCAACAGCCATATTTAATTTTCGATTAATTGACACTATTGACAGTTAGTTTTTGCCCAAGATCACAGAAATTTACTACCGTTGTCTGGGACCAATAAAAAGTTGACTCCTAGACATATTTATTTGTGTCTTGACCTCTCATTGGCCGTTCGCTGACTAGGACCAGTCGGACCGATAATGATAACTATTTTAGAGATTTTGAACGCGACTATTTCGGAACACGCTCTTTAGTAACTAATTTAGTTACTTTTAGTGGTGCGAGTAAGGCTTTTCGAATTACTCCTCCTGGTTTTTAAATAGACTATACCAAACGCAAAAACAAAATGACATTTGCGAATATAGGAAACAGAACAACAATACATTTTGATGATTATGAGTAGAAGTGGAATTTGCGCATGAGTAATAGAGATCATTAATTTTTAGCCTACTATTATATTTTTATTGTTTCAGATCTTCCTGCCAGTCTACGAAAATGAAATTAAAAGAAGAGGTATTGTCTTGAAACAAAAAATCAGTTTATCTGCTAGGATACAACAGTCAAAAATGACGTAAATCAACCCTATTTATTGAAAGGAGGATTAAAAATTTCCTCATAAATAAAAAAAACCTAAATAATTTCAGAATGGCATCCATTCTCATCGCTTTCTTACTACTAGTCATATGCAGCACAAGCGCAAACTTTTACTTACATCGAAGACAACGAAAATCTCAGGTTTTCTCGCCGATAACGAGAACGAACCCCAAACCAAACATAATTCTTGTTCTAACAGATGATCAAGATGTCGAACTGGGCTCTTTAAATTTCATGCCCAAAACGCTGAAAAGCATTAGAGATCATGGAGCCGAATTTAGGCATGCATATGTTACGACACCGATGTGCTGTCCATCAAGATCGAGTCTTTTAACAGGAATGTACGTGCATAATCATTTTGTTTATACAAATAATGACAATTGTTCGAGTACGCAATGGCAGGCAACGCACGAAACAAGAACTTATGCTACATATTTATCAAACGCTGGATACCGAACAGGTAAGAAACGATAGGAGTTTTTAAAATATAATCTTTATGCAGTAAATACCTCAAAATAAACGAAAGTCGGCCACGCAACTGCTTCAAATAGATCGTTTTAGTTATAACACAGTTTGTAAAAGGTCAATAATATTAATAATAAACTTTTAAAGAATGTAATTAAGTAATATTTGCATTTAAGCAAGATTTTACATTACACGAATGAAAGTAGAGGTAATAAAATTGAAAGCCATAATATTTTCTAATTGGTCGAATACATTGGAATATAATTTAATATGTTGGTGTCTCAAAACTAAGAGATCGAGTCAATATTTTTTTAATAACGAAAATGTTTACTTAATACATTATTTTTAACATATACACACTGGGTGTTCGGAAATTACGTGTCAAGGAGCTACCACAGATATATCAGCTCAACTTGCTTCGTTTGGCTGCTAGAGATCCACAAAGTTGAATAAAAATATATATGTTTTTCTTTAATCAGCCATTTCAAAAGATCAAACTTGGTACTGTGACGACCCACCCCTGGCACCCCATTTGTTCGTTATTTTACTCTCTGAAATGTTATTATTAGCCTCACAAGTTTTACTTTAAATGTATACTTACTGTATTTGGCCCTTTTCCTCTAGTAGTAAAAGTGATCGTCTAGTTAATTAATTGACAATTTATATACCCACGTTGTGATAATGTTAATTAAGGTAAACCAGGATTCGATGCAAAGGTTGGTGCAAATTGATAAATAAAACAGTACAAATTCATATTTAAACTCTTTCATTTTTCATACTTTAAATGTGATTCAATACTTTGCAAAGTATATTACAATTTGTACTATTTACCGAGATCTCACTTGAGTCCCGTTCAAACGCAGACCACGTCCATTTGCTATCAATATATATTTTATTTTGGTTGACGACCAATGGAGTTAACGGACAGCGCCCATTCGCCAGTTGGTTAAGTACTATGTTGATGTTTATATTCTTATTTAGGTTGACGACCAATAGAGTTAACGAACAGTGCCAATTCGCCAGTTGGTTAACTACTGTGTTGATGTTGATTTGATTATATTATAGATATAAACAGGTTGCACCCTCTTAGGTAAATATTTCGACGAGTATAGAGGTGATGATCAACGGAAGTAACGAACAGCGCCAATTCACCAGTTGGTTACCTTACTATGTTGATTTCACATATATTGTTTCAAACCTTTTAGAATGGGTGGCTTAGCATATAGGTGTCCTTCTTGAGCTAACGAACAGTGTATTCATCAGTTAGTTAACTTACTGGTAAATTTTACCATCTTGGTTTGTACAATTTATCCAACATAGCACATCCCTGTATATTTCTAAAATATTAATTTTTATAATTTCTATTGAAATAACTATTACAAACCTGTATATTTCTTAATATTGATTTTTATAATTTCTATTAAATTAACTTAAATTTACCTATCGAAAACAGATGACTAACCTAACTGTCTTTCGGAGTGAACAACTAAAGGGCATATGATTTATCGGTTACATTGATAATATTTTGAAGAAAATGTCGAGCCCTCGTCTAAACGACCCTGGTGGTATCTCAAAGAAAGTTACATAAATCTTTTGACTCACCATTGAAAATACAGACATTAGATTATGTACTAATTTCATGTAACGGCGTCGATTTAGGTACGTAGCGGCGTTGAGCGTCGCCTTGCATCGATGAGCCTAGCGTCGTGGTGGAGAGGAAGGTATTTAATACGGTACCGCATGTAATAACCAGGTCGATTGGAGTATTAATAAAAGGATGCTTTCAGAATTCGAACGATTAACTTTATTATCTTTTTAACAGACCAAAAATACAAAAAGAAGTGCGGCTTGGGCTGCCTCTTGACATTGACATCCAAAAATACCAACCTTCATCTTGACTTAGCATCATAGTCCATTTCTTGCGATACCACACTGCATTGGGACAGTTATACGGTAGAAATATTTAGGTGGTGCGGGACGTGACGAAGGGCGTCGACAAGGATATTATTATGAAGGAAATATTTAGGGACGGCAAGCATCTGGAAATAAGGCGTGTGACGTTAACCGCGTTCGGGGTATAGGAGATATTGTAGAATAGACGTTGTTTTAGGAAGAGCGTTTTAGGAAAGGTACTGACTACTGAACTTAAAATATAATACAAATATTTAAAGGAATGCTTGCACATCAAATAATAAAAATGAATGAATCCGAGCTCATTTGGGTCCGGATTCTTATACCCGTTTTAATGGATTTTTGTGACGTCTAAGTGTGTTTTAGTTCCCAGCGAAAAACAAATATAGGTGGAAAAGGGTTGTTCAATTTATTACTTGCCTTGAAAATTTTGTGTATCGAAAACAACGTTACTATTCAAACGCATTTAAGATAAGTGCGTCAAGTGTTTCATGGGCTAGTTTCCCAGACACGTGCATGAAAATGGATTTGTTACGGACGTGGTTATAGATATTATTTATTAGGTGTCGTAAATAAGATTTAATTATCTGGGAGATTTTTCATTAAATAAAAGATTTTGAATTTAATAAGAATACAATATTATATTTAATAAATGGAATTAATAAATTATTAAGGTATCTGGGTGCTGTAGGATACAGTACGAATACTAGGTGTTTTGTGACCAATTAAAACAGCAGAAACAATTTTTCTATTGCTATCATGAACATCTCATTAGGAGCAGGACAAAGCATATTTTTTCTAATTTTTTATTTATCACTTTTTGACAATAATGGTATTTAAATAAACTGCTGGCCACTGAAACTTACATATAGAGATTTCTAGGAAAAATTTAAAGTTCAATATTTTTAACAGGAACGCAAATTTTTGAATGCGGCTTGCAGATTTTAAGAGCTAGTTTTTTCGTTGGTAAATGAATTGCTAACATCAAAAGAAACTAACTTAGCTTCAGAACTTAGATTTATGTTTTTAATTTTGTTAACTAAATCAATTGAATTTAAAACAGTATATTTGGGTATATAATTAAGAGAAGAATTAAGGAAGTTATTGAAAAATTTAGCAAAGGAAGGTGTCACATGTGTTAACACTCAAATTTGTCTCAATAGCAAAGTTCCTTCTCTCTTTAAGATTATTGGCAACAGTTGGTCTGAAGTTACCTAGTCAGCTTCGCCTTTAATCTTTTTTGCAGTTGAGTTGATCATGTCTTTTCCAGTGATTGCTGATTTCGTGGTCAGGACGGTTTTTCCTCCTCTTTTCAGCTGGTAAAGTTGGTCTGCCTGCGACTTCGATTTCGCTGAAGCTGGTCTGCTCAATTCTGTTGTTTGTTTTCAACTTGGCACATTTTTAATTTTTTTTTTGTTTAAACATGTTTTTCTACCTTCATTTACTGTATAACCTATAATTCTATTTAATTCATTGTAATCATTTGTTGTTTAATAATTTAAAGTCCCGCCATAACTTGACCGAGCTTGCTCAGTGGTACCAAAACCCACTTTTATCATTTTTAATATCAACCTTTTGACAATTTTTTACGAAACTTATTTCAATTAGGCATTCCAAACAAATGAATTGCCAGTGGGCAGGTTTGGTAGATCTGACGGTTGCGACATACGATGTATTCTATCTACATTACGTAAAATCATGAATAATGTATTACATTTAAATATTTTATATCGAACACTATAAAAATATTAATTAAAAAAACTGCTTGTACATTTTTTTAAAAACTGGCAGGATTGACTACTGATATTTCGAATAAAAATAGCGTCCAAGATGCAAGACTATGTCGCTACCCCCTTAGATATACGAGACCTTCCCACTGGCAGGTATTGTTTGACAGGTTGTTGGAATGCCTAATTTCTTTAGTTGGCATTTTTCTTGACAACTTCATTGTCAAATGTCAATTGTCACTCATGCTATTTTGGCACATTGCTAAGATGGTTGCTGGTTTAATAAACCCTTTTCGTTAATTTTTTGTATTCCAACTTGCCTTCGCCTCACGAAATTAATTGGCTAACCCTTGCTGCTTTCAAGATTAGCAGTTCCTCGTTCTCCGTATTAGCATGAACGGATGAACCTTCACTTTCTTTGTTAAAAACTAACCAGCTGGTTTTACATTTTGCACTGGGTCAGTTATTGAATTTCGGTTTGGATTTTAAATTATTTAATCTGCAAGCTATGGTGGAGACTTGGGACTGGTCAGTTGCTGTCCCTTATTAATTTAGTTTAGTTTCTTGAAGTTTCTTCTAAAGTTTTTATGACGAGTAAGTGTACAAAGTTTTTTATTCTATGTTTCAGTATTGATAGAGTTTATTGTATTGTAACAGCTCCGTTTTTCTCTTATAGAATCTTTGATGATGGCTTAAGAGACTGAAAGCGCTCGTACGAATTATTATTTTGTGGAGTTTTATTAAATAAAACTCGTTAATTACACACTTTAAATATCTTGTCGCTTCATTTCTTTCCAATTTACTAATAGTCCAATTAAATAACGAAAAAAAGCCCCTTCGAGCTTACATTAATTTGTAATTGGATGAAACAAAAAGGACCTTGTGTATTTTGATGTGATCTTTTCGAAAAAAAGAAAAAAAAAGATGTAGCAGTTTTTCAATTTTTTTTAAATTAGGAAAAACCGGGTTTTCCGGAATTTTCCATTGTAAAAATGCTAATTATCTGGGCAAGTATCATTCTGATAGTGAAAATAAATGCACCATTCGAAAGAGGAGGCAAAAATAGTTCGGAAATTCATTGCACAGGTAGTTTTAATGGCGAATTTCTCGCCGCCAGAAGTGCTTTTACCAAAAAGTCGTTTTTTCGTTTTTTTGATCAGAACCATGGACATGAAATTTGCGATGAATTTGTGGCGAAATTATAAATGTTAGACATATGTGCCCATGAGAGAAGTTGCGTATTTTTTTGTTGGCTCTCAAATAAAATAAGTCCCGCGGCGAAATCTGCCATAATTTTTCGGGAATTCGCAGGAAACCGGAAGGAGTAGTTTTTTTTAATTTTTTCCCATATGATTTT